AAGAAAAACTTTAAATATATGTATTCCAGACTAAGCAAAATCCCATGTAACATTTTGGTCTGGTATTAAAAGAAGATACGCAGGCTGCAGCCACCAACATGATACAAGATACACTTAGTGAACCAGAGTTATATATTGGTAATTTGCCAAACGCCAAGCTGTCAGACTAAAATGATATAAATTCTATTACACTACATAGATATGTAACATTAGTATGGATCGATGATATTTTTAGATTACATGTCATTGTTATACGTACATTCAAGGTTAGAAATAAACTATCATTTAGATTAGATGTCTTTGTTCTGTGAGGGAAGTGGAGAATATTGTTTCACAACTGCCTTTCTGGTTCACTGGATGGTGTTTGCAAACTATGGTGATCAAGATTTACAATTAGTGGTCCCTTTGTGTTATATAGCTGTAGATTTAACAGTTTACTGTATTGACCAGAACTGAACGTGGCATGAATGTCAATAAACATGATATACTGAAAAGTAACACTTGTGTAAGATGAGATGCATTGCAGCAAGTGGAGACTTTTGTCTGCAAGGCTTGACTACATATTTAGAACTTGTTGTGGTGCAACCTGTAACTGTAGAATGCAGCCTCATAATAATACCAACTTGCTAGGGTGGAACTGTTTACCGCGGTAGAACCGGGGTGTTTTGCCATTGGTTCAGTGTACCATAGTGCAATCCAAATATCAGGGGTTGAAAAATACCATTGCCCAACGCCCAAGTGGAATTCTCCGGTCAGTCAAGTAAATGTTCACATTAAACTTTACCCTGGTACAGTATTGCCAAACCACAGAAATATTCGGTATTTTTTTATTAACCTTTATAAACCTTTTGTAAAAAGTTTAGAAATCGAATCATTTTGTCACAATTTATGCATTTCTTTGCTACATGTCAGTTTTCTGCATTATAATCATAACGGTATACAGAACTGAAATGGATGAACCGAAGGCCTTGTCCCGCCATACGTATCGGACTGTGGTAAGAGCGTACCGTTTCACCCCTTCAACTTGCACCTATAGTTTGGCATGAAATGCATGTGGACCCGTTATTTTGTAAATATCTCTTCATCCAATGACCCAATCGATCTCAAACTGTGCAAGTGGATGTTTTGTCAGACAACCTAATCAGATTGTAAATCCCCGATTTTATGCATTTGTATTAAAGAATCTGTCTATGTAACTGTCAACAAAACTGTCATTCATTGTGAATGATCCAAACAGTCTATCACTGTGCAATGCACAGGTAACTTTCATGAACTGAACCTTTATGACCCAACACTGCCGCTGTTACAGGTCATTGGCTCCCTCCCTCTGCAAGCATTCTGCGTTCTGCTGTTGATTTTGTTGACAGTTACATAGACAGATTCTTTAATACAAATGCATAAAATCGGTGATTTACAATCTGATTAGGTTGTCTGACAAAACATCCACTTGCACAGTTTGGGATCGATTGGGTCATTGGATGAAGAGATATTTACAAAAAAACGGGTCCACATGCATTTCATGCCAAACTATAGGTGCAAGTTGATATCTTGCTGGACACAGAATACAAAATGATGAGGAACTGGCTTGGAGCAGTCAGTGAATAATTGTTACTGTTCATGAAATTTAGTGAAGTAAGATAAACTGATCTTTTCAGACCCAGAATAATTTTGCTATAGTGATGTTCTAAATGATCGATGCCAAAACTCAAGCATTATATACTCCTCACAAAAAGTTAAGCAACACAAATTTGTAGTCTCATTACATTTTCATTTCTTGAAATTTCAAATCATGGAATGATGCAATAGAAAGGTTAAATATGTATACACACGATTAACAAAATGAAATGAAATGGTATTGAGCAATAATAGACTTACAAATCATCAAAAGCATGTACCCGCGAAACAGTCGTGCAAAATGTGCTGCATTGATGGAGCAAAATGTTAACATTAAGGTTCAAGTCAGTTTTGGACAGTGAAGCAGTGTTCAGTAACGCGTATGACCACCATGAGCACAAATGCAAGCTTCTACACGTCTTTGCATTGACCAAATGAGCCTTTAAAGTTGCTGTTGTGGAATGTTCTACCATTCTCTGTAACGCCTGCTCAAGGTCATCCAGAGTCTGGGGGTGCACATGGAGACCGTAAACACGACTTCCAATAATGTCCCAAGCATGTTCAATGGGATTAAGATCAAGTGACCTTGCAGGCCAGTCCATATGTGTGATGTTGTTGATCTAAACAACATCGTTAACAACTCATTCTCGGCCATTTGCATCCATGGACGGGCATTATCACCCATTAAAATGAAGTTAGGACCCGCTTGTTGTGCCAGAGGAATGATTACAGGTAGGTTTACAATGATCAGGGTGCATGTGTGAAGAGTGGTGCACATTCATCCCACACATTTTGCATGTTGTTTCTGAGTGTGGTTGTGTTCGGGTTATGTTGTCAATGTTATCAGATAAATTAATTTGACAGTTACTAAAGGTTATGTATTCTTTGAATATTTACCTTTCAGTAACATGTCGGCAAAAATTGCTATCGAAATTGATAAAGATATTACACTGAAAATACTTGTTGCTTATTTTTTTGTGAGGAGTATATATGATTTTATGTTGAGGAGCAGGTTATTACCCAAGGTACTACATTACAGTACCTAGAATACAGTGATACTGTTATCAGAGGTGTTTATGTAAGTGACTGAGAGTGGGTAAGATTAGCACAGAGGTAGAACATTCTCCATCGTTTGTGGTAGACCTTTTGTTTAAACTCTTTTAGTCGGGTCTGTCTAACTGGATGTGTTGAAATCCTGGTTGTGTTGTACCCAAGAGACACAAATAATTTAAGACTTACTTTAATAAATTGAACTCATTTGTTTAAGAATGCACAAGTTGTGTGATTTGAATAACGCTCTCACAGATGCATAAATATGACAAATGTTCATGTGTTTTTTTCTTTAGGCCAGTCTAATTTTATTTCTTGTTTTACGGATCTGACGGTCATATTTTTTCAAGAATAAGAAAGAAAACAAATTCATTTTCCCAGCTCAAAAAATGAAATCCTCATTTGTTTATTGGAAAAAAAATGTAAACTTACAAATATATTTTTTTATATTGTTTTTTTACCCATATACACTTCATTAATTGCCAAAAATAAATATCCTCAAGTCACACAAGTTCGATCGTCATGTAACTTCGATCGCCCATTTTGAATGGTAATTGTCGCAATACGTAGCGATAACTTACGATATCTGAAGCTTTGATCTTCTGGTGACACCATTTTCATTCGTTTGGACCGGAAAATGTTTCTTGTCAAGTTACCAAATGTAAGTTATAGCTCATTTTCAGCAAACAACTACTTTTTAACCCTAGATCAATAATGTAACTTTATCAGCTCAAATAAAATGTAAACAGTATACATTTCACACGTTGAAAATTGACAGCACCCCTGTCATCTGTTTGTTTACGTTGCTGGTCTAATTGTGACATGTCTAGACACGTGGTATCCTTGTCAAAATTTGAAACTTTGGAAACAAGTAAGGGCCATTTCTTATAGAAAACATAATGCTTTTTGAGAATTTCCGTAAATTTGTACCTGATGAAGTTCGAGCTATTGCCTCATTGATAAATACAACCTGGACAATGTACCCACCCTACATGTCAGCACAGAACACATATACGTTTCTGCAAGCCAGTTCGTGGTGTTTGTCGACATTCTGAGGTTTGATGCCCGTCACGATGAGCCTGAAGAATAATTCCCTGCATAAACTTGTATATAAGCTGAATATTTGTGACTTTTCATCGTTTTTAGAAGTATTTAAACATAAAATGAACGTTTCATTGACATAAATACCATAAAATTACTTGGGACTACTCTAGCTCTGAATTTGACACAAGAGATCGTCCTTACAAGTCATCCTGTTTACGTGACAAGCCAGCCAATCATATGATCAAACTTATGTGACGTAGCTTTCTGGGTCATGCCGCGATTGTGAAAAGCAGTAAAAATACCTGGATTTTGGAAATGTTTGACATAAATAAACAAGTTTAGAGGTAAGAGATTTGAAAATAAGATTATATGAATATAACTTTGAAAATTCAGTGACAGTTCTTAAGTGATCGAACTTACATGACACAAGGGTACTTTAGTATTCAAAAGGAAAATATCTTTGACCAGTGATTTTTTATTCTTTATTTTAGTTCTCTCCTGCCTTTAGGTTTTCTGGGGACAAAAATCCGTAAAACAAGAAATATAATTGGTCTGGCCTAAATTTGGTTAGCCAAATATTTCGGACTCAGTATTAACTGTGTTTTTTGGAGTGTATTTACGATTTTGTCTCTCAAAGGTTATCGGGCTGAATTGCCATATGAGCAGTGTTAGCCAAGTTTTTCTAGGCAGATTGGTAGCCAGCCTGCCACATGCAAAGTGTAGTTTGTGGCAAACATCTGAGTATACTTTTGGAGGAATAAAGTATAAATTGTCATTTTAAGATATATTTTATTTCAGTTTGTTTTATTAATTTAGAAATTAATTTAGAAAACCAACAGGCCAATTTAGACAAAGGATCTCTACAGACATACAGATCTGACTGTGTAGCCAAAAAAAATTGTCTGAGAATATGCGAAAAACATGTTGGCTAAAGTCTCTTATAGAAGACAAAGGTAAATATGAGCAAGAATATATTTGGCTGGTTTTGGCTTTCATGCAAATATTGTGATGAATGTGGAAAGAATTTTGTTATTATCTTTGTTTTGGTTTTTTTCAAATTACTAGTATCAGGTTTGAGCAAGAATTTATTTGGCTGGTTTTGGCATTCATGCAAATATTGTGATGAATGTGGAAAGAATTTTGTTATTATCTTTGTTTTGGTTTTTTTCAAATTACTAGTATCAGGTTTGAGCAAGAATTTATTTGGCTGGTTTTGGCATTCATGCAAATATTGTGATGAATGTGGAAAGAATTTTGTTATTATCTTTGTTTTGTTTTTTTCAAATTATCAGGTTTGAAGAGCTGTTTGTAGAAGTAAACAACATTGTTGAAACCAAGAGGAGACGACTGGAGCTTCTAACAAAGGAGTATGCTGTACTGTTGAAACCATGGTGAGATTTGCTGTCATACTCTGTGTATGTTGTGAGTATGGACAAGTTCAGCATTTTCAACAGCACTTTAGTTTTCCATCCCAATTTGTCAAGAAGTTTGAATCTGATTTTTAGGGGTGTCACGATTCGATAGATGTACGATTTGATCTCAATTTCAAATGCATCCATTTCGATTCGATTCATAACGTACTTACTTTCTAATACTGAGAGTTATTTCAACTGAAATCGTAAGAAATTATGTTGACAATTCGCTGCTACAAGTGTGGCCAGTGAGAGGGTATTCTCCACTGCCGGAGACGTAAGTGCCCATAGGGCATGTCTTTCAAGTGAAAATTCCTTGCACAAAACATGATCATTCCAAATGACTTACAGTGACATTACAGTCACAATGAACACTTGACACAAGAGTTTCGTGACTGAAACTTAATTTCATGATCACTTGGTCAGTGAGTATTTGTTGACAGCTTGTCTTGACAGTGTTCTAATTGTGCATTGTGCCAATTTTCCTAGTTTGCCAAATTAAACTGATATTACTACAAATTTGACTTTGTCCTCAGCTTTGGTGAATCAAATCAAAATTAATCGAATCGAACGAATTGAATCGATAATCGTATCGAATCAAGTGAGAGTGAATCATGACACCCCTACTGATTTTCAATATAGCCCCATAATAGCCAGTCTTTATGGACAGTAATCAGAATGTTTAGTTCAAAATGGTATGGGCATTTTTGTATATATAGTTTGAAACATGTCTGTGCTTCTTCTTTTGGCTATGTTTTATATTTTGACCCTGATATGACCTTTGCACTTGGACCCAAGTGAAAAGATTGCATGGGCAATGGCCATCACTCAACGATCTGAATTCATAATATAATCACATTCTATATACCTGTATATGTTAAACATATGTTCTTGTTTTGAGTAATTACACCCAAATTTGTTCAAGTGGTTCTTAATTTCATTGAAATCAGACTTTTGCGCCTGCTAATGCTTCACAAGGATCAGAGGTCATTAGAATTACCTTTCACAAACTTTGACCAACCAGTGAAACCGATGAAGTCAGAATTAGCCTATCAGAAAACAGCTTTCTCAGCATTACAATTCTAGTTTCAAGTTGATGGCTTAATGAAGGTAATTCTGATGTGATGGGATGTCCTCTGATCTTTGTGACGTGGTAGTGAAACCTATGGTCTGATATTCATCAGACTGAGAGGTTCAAATCTGATTGGCCACAACTGCAACCGCGCCATGTTGAATACACAAATATTCAGCTGTTCTTGCACAAAATGTAATGCAATTTGTTATATGTGTAATTAATAAGGCTGTTACGATTCACTCGCATATTCGGTGAATCGAACCGTAACCCTTCATGAATTCAATTCATTATTCGTGGTCACCAGAACCGAATATTAACAAATATTTACGATTGTTTTAAGATAACAAGTTTTACTTGAACCCTTATGTCCTTTTCCAAAGTGAGATATGCAAGAATGGAACATGTACTAGCATTGCAGTAGCACAAGTCATGTAAGTTTGCCAAGACTGCACATGGTACTGTCATCTATAACTATTACATACCAAATTTGAGTGTCATGAGATCACTGGTTATTGATGTGACAAATTAACACTGTCAACATGGGCGTTCAATATTGTACATCAATCATTTAACTACAATGTTGTATTTGTGAATAATTATTTGTATTCGTTACCCAATATTCATGATACGTATCATATTCGCCACATAGTGTATTCGTTGCAGCCCTAGTAATTAGTGGTGGCACAGCACATATGTTTTATTTTTCCTTATCCTGACTCATGCTTATTTGCTTGTCTTCTTCCTCTTGCGAACATAGTGGAACACTTGTATCTCTTTATTGAAGCTCCTTTAAAAAAAAACGTACGTAAAATCACTACTCACCAGAGTTATCTCTGTTTCCGGTTTTGGCGGGAAAAGTGGCGCCACTGTTTCCCCACGCTTCACTCTCTCCTTCTTCGCCCTGTGAGCAGGTTGTGAGAGCGCCTGTGTCTCTTATACGGCACTATATCCTTTTATTACTTAGTTAGTCACCTCTATTATACTATTATAGAGGTTTAGCTAGTATATTTCAACAATATGGTTTCATGTTTAATCGTATTTAGCACTGTTTATTCACGGGTTAGTCCGTGTTTGTTCAGTTATTTACGTGATGAAAAATTGTTCCAATTGTAGATTACGTTTCTCTGCTGCTGACCCTCATCAATTGTGCCCTAGCTGCACGGTACCATGTTCTTTCAGCACCCGCTGCATTAATTTCAAGCATTTAACTACTTGTGCATTTAATAAATACCTTCTTTCCGTCCTTTGACGTGCTGCAGATAGGTCTAGAAGGGTTGGTCCAGTCATGGATAAATCAGCGGAGTCCCTCACCAGTCAACTGCTGTCTGACGCCCCCCTTCCGTCTGGTGTCCCGCTGGAGTTTCCCTCGGAGGAGAGGCGTGGGATGAAGTCCGCCACCTCCAAGAAGAGACCTGCTACTCCGGACATCCTGTCGTCTCAGCCTAAGACTCGGAAATCGTCAACCACCCAGCGCAGACTCCGCACCCCCAGGGCGTCGTCCACCACCACGGGGAAGGCAGCGCAGACAACACGGACTTTCTCAGCCGAGATTGTCCCGTTGACGGAACAGGGACTCTACGATGATCAACCGATTTTCATCCCAGAGGTTCGTCCCAAGAAAAGACCAGTCTCAGCTACGGTGACTTCAGCGCAGATCTCCACGCAACCCGAGGTATCTACGCTGACAACAGATGAGCGTCCTGTGGGCCACGCCGCTATCACCGCAGAAAGGGCAACGCTACTACCACCGCAGACCTTCAACCCGGGGGACTTTATGCAGCAGTTCTCCCAGCAAATCATGGAGATGATGGAGCAGCGTTACGGCCTGGAGAAGAAGTCACAGCCAGCCCAGAAAGAGGTCCCGAGCGAAGGCTCCAACGCAGACGTCGTCTCTGAGGGGCCCTCCATCAACGTGACATCTGGCAGCAGATCTACACTGCAAGACCAGCCTGCGCGAAGGTCGACTCCACCATCCCCTGCGGCGGACTCGGACGATCAGCATCCGCGAAGGCATTCGTGAAGGACGACTCGGTCATCACCGGCTATGGATTCGGACGATCAGCATTCGCGAAGGCGTTCGCGAAGGAAGAATCGCCCATCCCCGGATACAGAATCAGACGACCAGCGTTCGCGAAGGCGTTCGCGAAGGACCAGTCGCCATTCCACAGATGCGGAATCAGATGATCGTCGTTCGCGAAGGCATTCGCGAAGGACTTCAGATACAGTATCCAAGACATCTTCCGCATCTTGCAAGTCGTCGAGGGATTCGCCGAGACATTCGCGAACCCACAGACGCTCATCTCCGTGCAGGTCACCCTACAGACGCAGTTCGCCGGGCCACTCGCCACGCCGAGCTCCACGCATGTCTCCGCGCAGGTCTCCACACAGGTCACCGCATTCGCGAAGGACTCCACCTCGATCACCATCGGAGGAGGATCAACGTCCCTTACTCAACACTCCTGTCATTGAAGATGACGGCAGGATCATCTTTTCGGTCGCTGAAATACGCTACTGGATGGCCAACGGTCTAGATTTGGCATCACCATCTAAGAATGATAATCCGGCTCACACCTATCTCATGCAGGATGATGATGTCGACACGATCACTCTCCCTCCGATTCATCCCATCGCAGCGGTCCCAGAGAACCTAGACGCAGCCTTCAGGTCTACCACAGTTCAACGCCAAAAAGTTCTCCTTCCATAACATGGATCCATTCCTGAAGGCACAGGACATCGATGAGAACTTCAAAGTCATCAGTGATGCCAAGGCCAAGTCTTACAACATTGAAGACAAAAAGTTGGCACAAGTTGAAACTATGACCAGGCGCATGTTCTTCGGCCTCGTGGTCAACTCCTTCCATCTTCGCTGGAGGAATCGACGTGGTTGCCAAGGAAGTTACCAAAGACTCAAGGGAGGTCCTTATGATCAAGTCCATAGATACTCTGGCCAGCGTTATCAGGCAAACATCCCAGGCAAGTCCAAGTTTCCTGGGATACAGAGAGCTCGGGACAAGAACGTGGGTAGCTCCAGAGGCGGAAAAAGTTCCTTTCGTCGCCCAGCCGACAACTACAGAGCAAGGTCCGGACGAGGCAGGGCACCCAGAGGTGCCAGGGATTATCGACGATGAAAGAAGGGTTCGGAATGACTAGAGTCTTCCGACCCCAGCCGTTCCTGTACAACCTTCACAAGTGGGTGGACGCCTTCAGCTACACTGGGAAAACTGGGGAATACTTCAAGATCCGTTTGTATCCAACATCCTAAGGAACGGATATCGCATACAACTACAGGCCGCTCCACCGCTTACAGTCGACCCGCACAAGTTCGACTTCAAGACTCATCAGATAGAGCAGTTACGAGAGGCGGTCTCATCTCTACTAGTAAAGCGAGCCATAGAGGTCGTAGATCAAGCCAACATCACACCAGGTTTCTACTCCCCAGTTTTCCTAGTGCCCAAGAAAAACTCCAAAGAAAAGTTCCGACTCATCTACAATATGAGCACGTTCAACAGAGACTATCTGAGCAGACCTCCCAAGTTCCGCATGATACATCTACCTCAACTAATCCACCTCGTCTGTCCAATGGACTACATGGCCAGCATAGATCTACAGGACGCCTACCTGCATATTCCTGTACATCCAGACTCGAGGAAGTACCTCAGGTTTACACTGGATGGGCTACATTACCAATGGAAGGTCCTGCCATTTGGAATATCATCGGCCCCTTGGTTGTTTACATGGGTGACGAAACCCATAGTCATATATCTACATCATCGAGGTCTACGCAGTGCATTTTACCTCGACGACGGGATTCAAGTACATCAAGATCCCAAGCATCTCAGACTACAGTTGAACTTTACCATCAAACTGCTCACACAGTTGGGGTGGTTAGTGAATCTACTCAAGT